AAACTATCAAGAATGCTGACTGTGTTGCCATTATTTCTGATTGGTGGTCAAACATTTGTGGGAAAGTATCATAAATTACATCATCACAACTCCACAACCAGTATTCTACAAAAGCACAAAAACCAAAACTGAATGTCACACCAGTGATTACATTGCGAATTAACTCAAAAGTGTAATTGAGGAAACTGGATCAAACAAAGTATATGCCATTGTCCAATATGAAAGCTGCTTGGACACAGATTCAAGAGGCATACCCTCATATAACACCTATTGGATGTGCAGTGCATGGACTGAGTCTTCTTCTGGGAGATATCATGAAGCCTGACTCCATGCAAAACTTGTTCAAGAAAGCAACAGCTATGGTAAAATATGCCAAGAGACATGAAGTAGTTTGGGCAACGTTTTGTGAAAAATAGAAAACCTGGAATAAGGGAACAACACTTAAACTGCCAAGCCCAACAAGATGGGGTGCTGTTGTAATTATGTATAAGAGCTTGATTAATGGCAAAGAATCATTGCAAGAACTTGCAATTATGGAATCACTGGGTGTTGATAAAAGCATGTGAAAGGATCTTCTGGATAATGACATTTTCTGGCCACGCATAGTGAACAGCCTCATGATACTTGATCCTTTGGCATCAGCAATTACAGAAATTGAAAGCAATGATGCTCTTCTGTCCAATGTATCAAAGCTCCTAACTTGTGTTAAAGAAAAAGTAAGTGCAGCACTTCCAGAGTCACCACTGAAACAAGCTGAAGAAAGGGCTGCAACGAATTTAATCGAGCAGAGGTCAGAGTTCTTCATGAAACCAATCCATGAAGCAGTCAACATGTTACACCCTTGCTACAGAGGAGAACACCTTAACGATCAACAAGTTAGCACTACATACACTTTTATAACAGTGATGGCAAACCATCTTGGTCTTGATGAAGGGAAGGTCTTAGCTAGTTTGGCAAAACTTAGAGCAAAGGAAGGACTCTGGAAAGGCGATGCCTTGTGGTCCTCTGCCCAGCACATTTCCCCAGCCACATGGTGGAAGGGCCTTTGTCACACAGAAGTACTCTCCCTTATTGCCACTTGTATCCGTCAGCTGCCACCTACCTTAGCTGCCTCAGAACGCAACTTGTCTTTATTTGGCAATGTACATACCAAGCAACGGAACAGACTAACAAATGACAGGGTAGCCAAGCTAGTCACCATAAGGAGCAATTTAAAGCTCTTTGAACCTACATCTGACACTTCCACATCTTTGGCATCCATGGCATGCGAAAACATGGATTCTCACACTGAAATGAGTAAATGACAGTTGAGTGCATTTCATCAGACAGTTGCTCATCAGATGAATATAGTTCAGATGAGGATTGTGAAGCTATGAAATAATTTGGTACAGTTAAGTCTGTGTTACAGATATTGTACATTTCTAGCTAAAAACAAAAACTTTTTATCTGGAGTAATGTACATTATGCCAAAATAAAACATGTTTGCTTTTGTTTTGTTTGATGCATAAAATATCATTGAACATCTTTTATGATCTTGTAACATGGGCAGTAAATCTTCATTTGAATCGTGTAAATGCATATAATAATTATAGTATACATTTCTAGTGATATAAATAGTGATAATGAAGAGTTTTTTTATTTTCATTAATGTACTATTAATGACATTATATATGTCAGGAGTCAGTAATTCTGTATTCAGTATTATACTTATTTACATGAAGCATATTGTGCAATCTGTTAACTGCCAAATTTGCTAACTGAATTATCCGTCCTATTCTTTTATATTTCTTTACAATGGTCATCCATAGAAATGTAGTACACTTTTTAGAGATACAAGTATTATTCACAAGTTATAAGAGCTTAATGTATGCATGTTAGCTGTAGCTCAGTAAAGCACTGGTATATATGGTGTTTTTTTGCTGGGAGATACAAATGTTTTAGTATTTGTTTTTTAATTTTATATTTAAATATTCAGTGTAGATGATAATTTTCATTTATGTTTTTACATTTTTTGTACTTCAGGGTAATTATGGTTAATGATATTTCTATAGTTTTCTATTTTTTCATGTTGTGACTAAAGCATCAACACAACCATATGCTTTTCAGTATTGTATTTCTTCTACAGTTTAAATATTGTATTAAATAAGAAAAAAGCTTATTTATATCAAAAATATATTTTACAAAATAATTTCAGCCTCAGGTAAGACTTAAGAGTTATTTTTTGAATGTTCCCAAAAATTCCTGAAAATTCCCAATGGAAATTTACCACTCTGAAAATTCCTGGAAATTTTGCAACCCTAGGCACATCCCTTCTTTTACCCACATTTTTTCACCAGGGAGATTAAAATTATTATATATTGTGCTTAGGATCACTGTCCAACCATTTTTTTTTTTCCCATTGGGATGTGCTCTTCAGATTTTTCTGCCCAGATCTTTCTCACCTTTTCCACACCTGGGCAAAGAGTATACCTGGTACAGAAGTGGTGCGGTATCCTACATATCATTCTCTTATTAGAGGGTTCCCTCTTGAGGGTGTCCTTCATACCCTTTCAAAGGATGCTTCTACTTTCTCCCTTGCATCATTCCATCCACCTTTCAATGTGGGATTCTAGCTATGTATGTGACTGGAAGTAAGGTACCTTGTCGGAAGTCATAATTTTCCTACACTGAAAATATGTTTCCGACAGGTACTTAACTTCTGTTCACACTTCCCACTGTCCACCAGTGCTTCAGTTTCTGCCTAAACTCGAAATAGCATAAATAGTAAAATAGCATAAATATCACAGAGGGAGTCAAATGAGTCATATGTGTGTGGGTGACCTCTATTGGTGGAGGTTTGTTTCATACGTGAATCAGTTAAACCATGTGAACCAAGGGGTACGTGGGAGTGAGAGGCTTATGGCATGCAAAAAAAATTTGCAAATAGAGGGCAGCACTAAAGGAGAATAGCTATGTATGTAAGCGTAAGTAAGTACCTGTCAGAAATATATATTCAGTGTCAGAAAAATTATAGCTTTCAAACATAACCCAATCTTGACAGCTAAGGCACTCTATAAATTTCACCCCACATATCCCTGAACTGCTCTAATCTTATTGAAGTTTCTTAGTCTTTATTCGGATCTACCTAACCAATAATTATATATTTAACTAACATTAGGCTATTTCACTGTTTATAGGTTAATCTACCACTAAAATCCCCTGTCAATTAAAACATTAGCTTTGATTTATGCCATGTCTCTAGTTGTACTAATTGCTACTAAATAATTTACTAATGCATTAAATTCTCAGCAGCTAAAAAATAATAGAAACCATAATTTGAACACTTGAGATAAATAAATTCTCCTTCTTACATAGCTAACACTTGTGATAATTCTTTATTTCAACCTAATTTTTAATAAACTAGTTCTGTTACCTTACACAACAATAAGTTAAGCCTGGCGATCTTGTATTAATCATAAGGTCATAGCTTTAGGTTTAATTATAAATGCAGATATAAAACGAAATATTAACCAGTCATAAGTTATCAAACTGAAATACACAAAAATAACTACTCTGAGCTTTAGTAATAGTAAAATATTATTATCTTATCAAGAAAAACATTATAATCTACAACTACAAGTATTTTAATTTCTCTGTCTCAGAGCTCAAAGTATTACATCCATTATTCTCAACAGCTTCCTTTATACTCCTACATTTAACTTTGGCTGAGGAGGATAACCTCTATCTGATGAAGGTGTCAAGTAGCCAATGAGGCCACTGTATCTCAACATATGGGAGTTTACTTGATGAATTGTTTATTCTGTATCATTGTAAGTATTACCAGATAAAAAATCTAAAGAACTGACTATTTTTTATTATAATATATAATACCTTGTGCCTGAGAAGCATGATCTACAGATCAGTGTTTGTGTGACATCACATTACAATAACATTGAGGAAAATTTGTTTCACAAATCTTTCTTTACTGCCTTTTTACATATAGGGCCAGTAGAGAGATTTGTTGAAAACTATCATCAGTTGTACTGTGACATAATGTCTCACCCACTAAACATGATTTGTTATTTCATTATCACAAATTCAGTTTTTTAGAATTTTGCCTGACTTTCAACTAACATAGGCATTCTTCACTTTCACTTAAACCTTGGCTGTAGTTACTTTTAACAACAACAAATAGTAACTACAGCATATTCAGGCACACACACACATTGACATGAATGAACTTTATTGTTGTTTAAACAGTCAATCTCATTGAAAAATAATAGAGGGCAGCACTCTCCAGAGTCACTCAAAAAACAACAACAACGTGGATGGATACATCTTTGAAGTATTCTAGAAACTCTAGCCTTGATAATTCAATTTAATATTTGCATATAATTCTTAAATACAGTAAGGTGAGTTACTTAAAACTTGACATAAGAATTAAGTATGTGTAATAAATTTTGATAAAATATTTTTCCTTTCAATTTTGAGTAAAGCTTTATTTCTTGTAAAAAATATCATACATAAATGCTACCTAAAATATTTGTTTAGTTAGTGTATGTGTGTTTGTCATTATTTTAATATTTTACTATACTTGGCAGTTATAGCCTGTGGTAACTTGTTTGTGTTCATAATTTTAATCAGTATTGTAAACTAGAGCTGGGTGATTACTGATGTAATTAATTACCTATGCACATCGATTATATCAGCTATTGTCACATATAATAATAAGTTAATTAAAATTATGATTAAATCAACTGGTGTCCCAAAAATAGTAAACTAATCAAAATTAGTGTTTCTGGTTGTCACTATTTGCAATTACTTCAACAATCCAAGTTTCATGTGAAAATAATTTCTTAGTTGAATGTCCCCAATTAATGAGCTTGAAAATTAATTGATTTTTCAATTCCACAAATCACTCAGGTCTATAAGTTATACATTGTTCTTTTTCATAATGCTCTCATTTTTTAAGGATTACGTGTTGTATTTTAGATATCATTTTAGATATTCTTTCATTGCAGTGAAGAACAGTCAAGGCTTGCAGCAAGAAAATATGCTAGAATTGTCCAAAAACTTGGGTTTGACGTAAGTTTATACACATTTGGCAGACAATGTATAATGTGCCCATGAAATATATAATGTGTAGACTATAAAAAATGTGAAAGTGATATTCACTTACAAAACATATCTTCATCAGTCTATGAGTCATTTATAAAAGTTCTTGTACCTGTGGAGACCCATTCATTAAAACAACCAATAAACATCTAGCTATGATACTAAACAAGTGATGTCCTCCATTTTATAAAGCTTAATAGTTTTGTCATGGCATAGGACACCACTTAAGACAGCATGGCTGCATAATCATTGGTAGAGAAGTCAATTAGAAAATAAAAAACAAAAGAGGGGCACTTTGTTAATACTAATGAAACAGAATTAGACACTCAGATTCAGATCTTTATAATTCAATCTAAAATAATTAACATAAAAGCTTTTTGACTTGTTTTTACAGTCACATTAAAATGAAAATCCAACATCCTATGGACTTGAGGAGTTTTCACTTCATTGTATGTTCAACAGTCTAAACTATTCATTATAGCTGCACATTTAACTTTAATATATTTGTGAATTTAACTTTTTATAATGTGTGAGATATATGAATATGTAACTAAACTTATTTTAAGACTTTTCTCCTTTCTTTAAAAAAAGAAGCTAAATTAAATATAATTTTATTTTTGACTTAAGGAGCAGAATATCTGGAAAAGAAAAGTTATGGTTGTTTTCTAAGACAGCTGTAAATCCCAACTTTCCAATGGAATTAAAAAAAACATTTTCCCCTAAAAACTTTTGTTGAAATATTATTCAGTTCAAATTTTTTAATGTTTTATAGCGTAATATTTTATTGTATTCTTTTTATTTTACTAGGCAAAGTTTCTAGACTTTAAAATTCAAAACATGGTGGGCAGTTGTGATGTGAAGTTTCCTATAAGGTTAGAAGGACTTGTTTTAACCCACAGCCAGTTTTCAAGGTGAAGACATTTGGTTTATCTAAACTTAGTAATTTTGTAACATATAGAGAGAATGCTGAAGAATCTCTTGTTTATTGCAAAAAACAGCAACAAAAAAACCTGAAGCTAATAATCATTTGATGTGAAGATTGTAGTTAAAATACATTTGTTTATATTGTATACATAGACATATATAATACACTAGGACACTGATTACATTGTCAGTAAAGTTCAGTAATTTTTAGTTTTTAGAAAACAAATTTACATTGACATTTAATCTAGCTTTTGTACTAGCCAGACTAACAATGAAGCAGATACTAAAAACTTAAATGGTGAAGTGTGTAACTGTATGTATGTATATATATATATATTGTTACGACAGCGGAAGTTGCGCAACGCTGGGAGCATGCACTGGAGTTCTAGAAAGATCAAGGAACCTGTCGAATGTCCTAGCATTTGCTAAACGTGTGCTCTTATTGTATATAAGCCGGCAAATAAAGTGACGGCAGAGATAATTGCAGAGACAGACAATTGAGTCAAGCGCAGTAGTGACCGTAAGTTAAGTGCGTGAA